CATCTTTCGTCAATGCTTTTTATCACTAATTCTTCCAGAATATTTGTATACATCGATACAATATCGAACGATAAAATTTCATATTCCTCGTTAATAGACGATCCATTAATTTTGTTAACGAAATCAAAACTATTTTTTATATGACTAAATTCTTTTTTTAAACTTTTATCAATAATATTTTTTATGAACGAAGCAAGTGAATATAAAGGACTGTTTATGCAACTTATAATTATTCTCAATGGATTACCCTCTTTATGTACCTTTGGCAGTCCATAAGTCCTCGGTACATTTCCATCAGTAACATTTAGCATTCTATATACAGATTGATCAATATAATTAAATTTTTTCCACCTACTCAAAAGTTTGTGAGTCTGATTCGTCATCATTGTTGTCGGATCTTTGTTAATTTTAATGTAAGTATTTATATCAGATAACAATTCGTTCATTTTTTCTTTGTAATCGCTCACATTCATTATTACCGTCGAATTTCCCTTATCCGCCCTAGTGAATAGTAATTCCGGATGAGAATCAATAAATGTTTTTGTAGCAATCATTCCTTTTATTAATGTGCTTTCTTCTGAATTAGTTTTAATATTATCATATAGGTTACTTTTTAAAACGTGAATAGCATCATTTCTTATGGAGTTACGTGTATTTTCGTCTAATTTAGTAATATTATATTCAATTTGTTTTACAAACTCAATGTTAATTTTATCTTTATTAATTAAATTGTTCGGTAGATTGAATTTATGTCCCAATTGTAAAATAGTTAGTATATTTTCAGGAATGTGTAAATTACTCAGATTTATTATCCAGTTTTTGTTAATATTATTGATATTATAATTCTCCTCAAAATTGATTGGATTAATATAAGTTTGAAATATTGTATTCTCTTTAGAATTATCATTCACTTGAGTGGTTATTTTTTTAATATGAGATGGAGTGAATTTACCATTAAATTCAGAAGAGTTCGACCATAAAATATTGAAATCTATGGGTTTGATTCTTTCCTTCCTTAATAGAGATGTTGAAGTTCTTAAATTTATTAACTTTTTATTAATACTATTGTATTCTTTGAACCATAGTTTGTTAAAAGTACTTTCCTGTCTACTAAAAAAGGAAAAAGCAACCCGACTAGGTAAAGAACTAGTAATTCGCCTATTTAATTTGAATATCTCATTTTTAATCTGAGCGAGTTGTCTATAAGCATCTTGAATCTCCCATATGATTAATTTATTAATAAAATTGAGTTTTATGCGTTCAAATTTATGAAGAGAAGAGTTAGTACAAATATTCGTTTGATAATTTACAATCTTTTTTAGATGTTGCGGTATTAATGCTTTATTTTTGCAAGTTTTAAGAAAATAAATTCGCAGTTTTAAGTTCATATTCGTGCGTAGTAATTTAATAAATCTTTTTAAGTCAAGACACACAATAATCCCAAAATAGAACCTAATATAATTAAAATACGATAAATTTGACCGCATGTTAATGCCTGCGTCTAAATAAACAATCTAGGATAGATACGTGGTACGAATGTAAGACAATATAATTATAAAGGCATATGACCACGAACGCCTGTTATCGTTGGCTTAAAATTATTATATTTAATAAAGTACAATTAATAGACGTTTCGGTCTTCAATGACACCTTCTTCAGCATTCATATAAATTAAAAGTAATACGCATAATTATAACATAATTTAAGACTTAAAATTAGATTTGTAACAAATATCAGTATTATTTTTTTGCTATTATAAAATTTCGTCAATACTTTACTCGCAAAAGTTTTTATCCCCTCTCTTCTCTTTCCTTACTAGATGTGATTTTTATTCTCCTTTAAACGCAATAGTTCCGTATCAGTTTGTTAGTATGAGCAGATCTTGGAACGTAACCACGAACAATTGTGTAAGCAAATTCTCTCGATGTATGTCCACACAAAAGTTCCAGTTTCTATTAAATAATATATGCAATTATAAATTAATCAATACAATACGTTTTTAATTAGTTATCTTATAAATATTAGAAATAACTCAATCGGATTTAATTTAATAAAATATAATTAAACAGTCAAATCGAAAAACACAAAATAGTAATCTTATACAAATATGTAAGCAATTTTTTTTTCCCCCTATGATTCAACAAAAGATCCCATTTTTATTAAATATTATATACAATTGTAATCTAATTAATAACGTGCATCGTGTATTGAACAAATTAGTTATCTTATAAAATGTTAGAGTTACTACGTCGGATTTAATTTAATACATTATGATTAAATAATCTAGTCAATAAATACAAAAAATAGTTGTCTTATAACAATAATCGGAACACGTAGTCAGATTCAATTTCATACAATGTAATTAAATAATCTAGTTAACAATAGTCAAAAGATTAAAATGATACCAATAGTTTTAATATAAATAATTATTTTACTTGAATACCTGTGTCGAAGAAGAGATAATTTGCAATCAAGAACGTGGAAAACTCATGTGATACCAACTAATGCTAAAAACGTTATATTAACTTCTGTACAATTCTGACAGTTTATATACATTTACTGAGTTAGCGGTGGAAAGTTCTGGAATCATGTAGAGGACGATACGTTTAATAACGGAAAGTATGCTTCGGATAACTTTTCAGTGTCGTTTTGTTTATTGATTCCTTATAAACTTTCTTCGCTTTGATTGGATTATATTTTAATCTAAAAGAGTAATCCTATCTCAACGAAGAAAACTTTGTACGACTGCAAAATGAATATTCTGCTAAATGCCATTGACTTATGCCCGTATTCATACACGGAGAGAATTTTCTCTTAGAATTTAACCTGAAAATCATGATAATAGTGGGACAACATAGTATTTCAAAGAATTGTATATGAGTTTCTTTAATTTACTAATATGCGTCTAATAAGATATATAATATAATTTTATTAATTTTACTAAAGAGTATATTAAAATTTCAATATTTAAAAATATGTTACGCAGTTTATGATTCTTTATTATTTTAAACGAATAGATGCTAAGTAGTCATGAATATATAAAATAGCTTATACAATTTTTACCATACAGCATGATATTTTTAATCTGATTTAGTCGCTTATAATTTTACCGTATAACATAGTAGTAATTGATCGACTGTAATCGATATTTATCGGTTATTTTCGTTGTCGGGTGTGTCTCTAGCTACGCTAGAACTTACTCACTTCAAAACATTTTACAATCTGCATTATAATTTTTACTACATCATTTATAAAAAGTCTTGTATATTTCAAAAAATCTATCGTTACTGATAATATTTCATTATTGTCATGTTGTCCCAAGTTTATTACCAAACATGATGAAATTTGTAATGAATTTTGCGGTAAAAAATAACGAAAAATTCTCTCCGTGTAGGGTGCGTTCCGATATTCACTGCCAGTACTGAAAATCTGTAATATATGTAACGTATACTATAGATTTTCAGTATTGGCAGTGAATATCGGAACGCACCCATAGTCAGACGTTGTATTTAAGGCTTCCTTAAATTTATCTTTAGATGCTTTACGAATTATTTTATTAGCTACTGAACATCTAAAGATAAATTTAAGGAAGCCTTAAATACAAGGCCTGACTATAAATACGGGCATTATTATTACTTCTAAAAGTGTGTTACTTGTCTGAGCTTTAATACAGTTTTATCTTCATGCGTCTACAATACACGGAGTAAGAAGTAAGAGTAAGAAATTGACCAATCACAGTCGAATGTGAGAAGAATAATCGACTGTGATTGGTCAATTTCTTACTCTTACTTCTTACTCCGTGTATTGTAGACGGGCCTTTATGCAGAACGCATAGCAACTTAAGTGGGCTCTCAAAGGTTAAAAATTCCTTCAGTCATGAAAAATCATCAAGATGTCCACACCGATTTCCACGAACACATTACTTCTTTCAGGATCTCTTGAGACTGCACCAATACAAAGTATGTATATCTCTTGGTATTTAAAATATGGTATTCAAAATATCGGTTATCTAGTTATAAAATATTGGTTTTAATTTATAAAATTGAATTACTATTTCTTTTTTAGAATCACAAACTGTACAGTCAACTTCATTACTTTCGTCCTCGTTATCAAAGTCGCAAAGTGGCACCATCAAATTCTCTGTTAATATCTAATACAAATTCACCAAGTTATATGACTTCATCAGGTCCATCGAGCCCGGCTTCATCTACTCTATCATCTAGGAAGAGACGTAGTCGAAGCATATCAACAGAACCACAAGACGCTAAACGAATACGTGAAGAAGATAAATTCGACAATTTGTTGAACGAATTTATTCCACCGCGCAGTGAAAAACAGGTTTTCTGTAATTTCTTACAATCTAAACTAGAAAGATTAGGGAAACAAAATTATATGCGTATTACACATATCATAATGCAAGAAATTATGAAAATCGAATTAGAAGAATCCGAAAATCAATAATAATATTATAACACAAACTATAGAATCGAAGCCTTACACGGTCTAGCTGGATCTTAATGCTTGTATGATTCTTATGTGAATTTATATACTACGTATGTAGTCCCACAGAAACGCGCGCCGAAAAATTTCCGTATAAAATAATATTATACTATATTATACTATTTACTAATGTTATATGTAAGTAAATATTGTATTTTTTTTATAAACTTAAATTTATTTCGTATATATATTTTATGTAATGTAAGTACAAATCACATATTCAGATACATACAAGTTTCTTTAATCTCATCTTAGATCCCATTGCCACAAAACAGCTCAATATCGAGGATATCAATATTAATTACATAAGTAGATATGAATCATGTATTTTTTATATAAACTTAAATATATTTTGTATACGTGTGTGTGTGTGTGTGTGTGTGTGTGTGTGTGTGTGTGTGTGTGTGTGTGTGTGTGTGTGTGTGTGTGTGTGTGTGTGTGTGTGTGTGTGTGTGTGTGTGTGTGTGTGTGTTATTTTATAGAATATAAACACAAAGTATTTATATAAGTTTCTTTAATCTGTTAGACAATGTCCCATTGCCACGGAACAGCTCCAATATATCAAGGAAGTAGTTTTTAAAGTTCTCCCTCACAGTGGCTGCATTCCGAGCATGAGTGTTGCTTCCTACTCTTCTTATCGACTGGAGCCCATTTCGTATTTCTTGGCGCCATTCACCAAGACTTACTGTTCCATCCAACTGTATGGAGTCGGCAAAACCAGGCCTGCAGTACTGCGGTTTATCCATTAAAAAATTATGCAATACTATACAAGCTTTCACAATTTTTTCTGCCGTTTTTAATAATGTATTTATTGGTCCTTCAAAGATTCTCCATCGTGCCACCATTATGCCAAAGGTGTTTTCAATAATTCTTCGAGCTCTGCTCAAACGATAATTAAAAATTCGTTGATCATATGATATTGTTTTGCCTGGAAATGGTCTCATTGTATAATGGGTCAGTTGAAACGCCTCATCTGCCACCAATACATAAGGCATTGGATCTCCGTTCTCGATGATTGGGGAAGGTGAAGGTACATCAAGTTCATTATCAGCAAACATTTGTCCCATTAGAGAGTTCTTAAATACTCCTCTATCACTATGACGACCTTTAGCTCCAATGTCGACAAGAAGAAATCGATATGATGCTGAAGCCACTGCCATCAAATGTATACTGTGACTTCCCTTATAATTGTAAAACGTTGATCCAGATTTTGCTGGTGCCTAAAAATTAAAATATCATTTATTTATTATATTCACATCACGTGTATTAATAAAAGTTATGCTAATAAAAAATTTTGCTGCAATTTTTAGACATTTCTTAATAATTATGATAAAAAGCTATTTTATACACCATTTTATAATGTTAGATTATTATATTTATTTATTATTTATTACATTAATTATATTTACTTACTATTATATTTTATACGCTATTTTATACTATTTTATATACCTTTTTATATAATATATATATAATATATAATATATTTTTATATAATATACAAATACATATACCTTTACAACAATGCTTTCCATCCATCGCACCTATACAGTGTGGAAAGTTCCAGCGTGTATAAAATTCATTTGCAATTTTCTTCCAATTGTCTTTTGAAGGCGTAAACATTTCATTTTTCAACGCGTTCCATAAACACTCACATGTTTCCGCAATAATTGCTGAAGCAGTGCTATGTCCTACACGAAATGCGTAAGCAATTGAAGACATTTTATCTCCAGTGGCTAAGTATCTACATGTAGTTAAAAAAACTAATTAATATATTTAATACAATTAGTTCTTAATAATTATTAACATTGTACATCTTTCATAAACTTACCTTAATGTCAAATATAGTCTTGTGCGAGGACAAATGGGTTTTCTAAAATTTGTTTGAGTTTTTTGTAATGCAGGTCCACAAATTGCGAGTAGTTCGTTAAAGACATTGACAGTCATACGGCAATAATTAAAATGTGAATCTACGTCCAAAAGTCGCATCTCATTAATCAGATGTTCACCATCTCCTTGTTCATTCCGACGTTGATTTATCGGACGAACCCACCATCGTCGTTGTCGTACCGATAAATTAAAATCATTTTGTTGTGCCTGGCGTTTAAGATGCCAAGCGCTTAATACAAAGAGACGATTTTGATGGTAATTCATACCGAACTGTTTTCTTTGCGCATAAAGATACAACAATGTTAAAAAACGTCTCTGTTTTTTATATATGTCCGTAACTGATTGCATAATAAGCTATATTCATAGAACAAATGTAACTGAGGTTAAATTATTAATTTTAGGTTAATCACTTTATTTCGTAAATTTATAATACTTACAGTATATACATATATTTTAAATGTATATGAATAAAAATAACTTTTCAATGTATAATTGATTATATTTTTGTATTAATAAATACTTTCGTATTGTATTAAAAATAATTGCGCGTCGCTTGTCGCGTTCACTAGAACCAGTATGAACTAGTATGAACGGACAAAATTAAAATCTTGCGAGGTCATCGCGCATCGCTCATCGTGTCCAGTGTGCAGTAGCCATAACAGTGATGAGTTGCGGTACCATATATTTCCTATAATGTATAGGCACATTTTTTGTTATAAAGAGCAATGAATGTATTTATTATAAATTTTAAAACTACTTGTTAATCTCGTTATTAAGCGTCATTTTTATATCACATATGATGTACGTGCTTGATTAATATTATTAATCAAACGACAATAGCATCATTTTTTTATATTACATATGATGTACGTGCTTGATTAATAATAATAATAATATTAATAATATTAATCAAGCATGTATATCATATGTGATATAAAAATGACGCTACTTTCCCGTTAATTAATAATATTAATCAAACACGTACATCATATGTGATATAAAAATGACGCTATTGTCGCTTGATTAATATTATTAATCAAGCACGTATAATACATCATATGTGATATACGTGCTTGAAAAACATCTTATCTATTATTAGTCCTTGATTATTATTCACTTGAAATTACTATATAAATCACAAAGTTCTTGGAATAATTTCAGTATAAGGCATAAATAGCAAGAATAACGAATAATTCAAGTGTAAAGTCAAAATCACACAGTGCAAATCATTAAAATGGTACAAATGAATCCTGCAAATATTCTCAATATGTTAATTATCCTTTTTCAAATTTCAAAAATTCCGGAAACACCTGTAAATGATAAAGAAATTGCATTACGCGATGTGGTAAAGGATATTATACACTCTTCAATGAATGAAATGACATGTGATATTCATATTGATACTACGTTAGAATTTGAAAATTATTGGGAATCAAACTTAGATGCAGATTTTGTCGACGATTATGAAATAGAAATACTTGAAGAAGATGAAGACGATGATCAAGCAGAAGTTAGTTGTATTTCAGAAGAACATGAAATTGTTAATGATGGCTATAAGAGAAGCGCTATTGAACTTTGGAAAAGTACAAAAAAGGGACGGTATTCCTTATCAACGGTTGTATAGTTTTGAGGCACGCGCGGCGTTGCACGTGCACAGATTCCATTTTCTTCCGTGGTAGCTTTCCAGCGGAAATTACGGCCGAGAGGGCCGGTTATCCTCTCTCTATTTAATTCGGTGCACTCTTTAGCTTCGGAACACGGTTCGAGTGCATCTCGGACAGCGTACGTGTACAAGACCTTCGCGTAAACGATGTGGCAGGCGAGAGCGTGCGTCACGGTCGATAGTTGAGATCAATCTGGTCGTGCAACGCGTTATCGGGCGCACGCAGGATCTACGCGATATGACGCAGGAAATAGACCGCGTTAGTCGGCGCTGGGGCGATCCCGATTGACCACGACTCGATTGGACACCACCAATCACAGCGACCGGTGCTTAGGAGCTTTGTAGTCTCAAGCGCTGTGAGTGGCTCGTGTCCAATTGAGCCATGCCCAACTGGGTGCCACCCGTCGGCGCTCGAGCCAATCATGAGCGCCAGAATTGCCAACTTAGTCAGCAGCCGCACAAACGATCCCCTGGAACACTGAACCGTGGCCGAGCGGGCCACGCCGTCGGATCTCGCATGGATCTCTCGCACGCGTCCCAGGATCCATTGTAGGGGCGCCGTGTTTGGTTGCCTTATGAGGACGAGCTGATTAGGCAGCAGCTGCGCGCCTTCGCTAACCTTCCACTTAGAACGTTGCTGCAATGATTGTAAATACTCTGTGCTCCAGCGACGCCAGAAGTGCTGCAGAATCTGATGAATCCTCTGCCAACGGAGCAATCGATTCTCCGGAACGTCGTCTAAGTCCCTGGAAGGAAAACTGTTCAGTGCCGTGCCGATCAGAAAATGTCCTGGGGTTAGGTGTGACATGTCGTTAGGGTCCGAGCTCATGGCCGTAATAGGTCGCGAATTAAGAATGGCTTCTGTCTCGCATAGGATAGTTTGAAGCTCCTCGAATGTTAAGTGAGCTCCATCGACAACCCGAGTCATGTGTAATTTCGCGGATTTAACCGCTGCCTCCCATAATCCCCCGAAGTGAGGAGCATTCGGCGGAATGAAACTCCAAGAAATTTGTTGATCATGTAAAAATTGACTGATCTGACCCCGCGCCTTAGCCTGAACGTAGAATTCGTGCAACTCTTGGAGCTGCTTATTAGCGCCAACAAAGTTATTTCCATTGTCGGAAAACATGTGGACTGGTTTGCCCCTGCGTGAGATAAAACGCTTGAATGCGTCCAAGAAGGCATCAATGGCCAGGTCACTCACTACCTCGATGTGTACCGCTTTGGGTACAAAGCAGACGAATATGGCTATATATGCCTTGTGGTTTTTAGAATTTCGTCTTTTTCCCTCTCTTATAGCGAACGGGCCGGCGTAGTCGACCCCGCAGCGCGAGAAGGGACGCGACACCGTAGTGCGGCCAGCCGGGAGCGGGGCCATTATGGTTTGCGAGTGCCGTGGGTTGGCCTTGAAGCAAATTACGCACTTTTGTATGATCTTGCGCGTATTTGACCGTAAAGATAGTGGCCAAAATGTTTGGCGGACCGCGGCCATAGTGGCCTGCGGACCAGCGTGAAGGTTACGAGCGTATTCCCGACTTATTAAGAGCCGAGTTAGATTGTGGCCGCCAGGAAGCAGAATGGGATGACGTGAGTCAAAGGGAAGCTGAGAATTTCGCAATCTGCCCCCCACTCTTATTAAACCTTTTTCATCCATGAAGGGCGAAAGAGACAGCAATCTGTTCGATTGCGGGATAGTCTCTCCCCTGCGTAAAGACTCCTGTTCAATGGGAAATTCCTGCCTCTGTACATCCTTGCAAATGACCTTCAAGGCATGCGATAACTCGTTGGGAGTGATGAATTCAGATGGCGACGCGGGGCGCTAAGATTTAGAAAATCGCAAACAGTACGCTATTACCCGACATATCCTGTTCACACTAGAAAACCTGCTTAGGAGGTCGTTGATGAGGGACGTATCGGGCCGTACGGTGGCGGCGACTGCCGTTTTCCGCAGCTCAGGAAGATTTTCCTCTAATCGCGCAAATGTCCCCGTGGGCCAAAGGTCATCGTTCGTTTGCAGGAAGGGCGGCCCGTGCCACCACAAGCTCAAATCGGCTAACTCGCCGGGGCCTAATCCACGCGAAAAAATGTCGGCCGGGTTTTGGGATGATGCCACGTGACGCCAATCCTTGCTTTCGGTGAGGCACTGGATCTTGCCGACTCTATTGGCCACAAAGACGGACCACTTTCTGGAAGATGAAGATATCCAGCTTAGGGTAATTGTCGAGTCAGACTACAGTACCTTAGGAAGATAGGGAACGCCTAATGAATCGTGAACCTTCGAGATTAATCGGGCTAAGAGTAATACTGCTGAGAGCTCGAGTCTCGGTAACGTTGTGGCTTTGAGAGGGGCAACCCGAGACTTTGAACAGAGCAAATCAGAGTGATGTTCCCCCGGGGCCACCTTGGTGCGAATGTACACACAGGCACTATAAGCGTTTTGACTCGCGTCGCAAAACCCGTGGATCTGAACAAAGCGTGAGTTGGATTCGGGCCTGACCCCCCGCGGCATTTGTATTCGATTTAAATCGTATAGTTGCGCTCTAAATTTTACCCATCGCGAATGAATATGTTGTGGAATCGACTCGTCCCAATGAACGCCGGACTGCCAAAGCTCTTGCATGATGAGCTTGGCAACGACGCACAGTGGCGCGCCGGGTGATTTTTTTCATCAACAACGATTTCCTCAGCAACGGCTCGACCGATTTAGATTAAACAAAAACGAGCTTAAAGGGGACAAAATTACCAAAAAAACTATGCAGGCCGAATTTTAAATTTTTGCGCCATTTTTAATTATTATTTAAACAAAAGAATGGAATATTTCGTGAAACCGTTAATCTATTGAAGCATATCACTTTCTCTACATGTAAAACAGCTAAAATTTTCTACCCGGGGGTTTTTGAGGTCACTGATTACGAATCTGATCTTAGATTATCAAAATTCAAACTGGCGGATCCAAAATGGTCGACCGAAATGTAAAAAGTTAATTGATCGAGATGAAACTGGGCACTCGGGGGTTTTCGGGGTCACTGATTACCAGGGAATGGAAGTAACTCGTTACTTGTAACGAAGTTACAGTTACAAGTTATTTTTTTGGTAACTTTACTAGTAACTGCGTTACTTTTTTTCTTTGGTAACTGTAACGGTAACGAAGTTACATTTTTTTGGTAAC